TTCTGCTAGTTGGGGTTTAGTCCAAATCTGCATCCTTTCCTTCAAGGCTCAGGGGTCCAAGATTATCTTCTGTGTCTGTATTAATTTGTTTCCCTTTTCTTTGTTGAAGAGGGTCTGTGCAATCCTTCTGCCTAGTCCGCCATCTTGCCCCGCCTCCTGTATCTTTAATTTTTTTAGTTTGAACTCAACCAATTTCTGGAGATAGGATAGTTGATTACTTTAAATACATAATTTTATGGTTGTAACTTTCAGATGCATGTAAAAGGTACATAAATATAGAGGCTTATTACCAGGTAATTATTAAGCTGACTACAAATTTTAGAAATACTTTTTTTTTTTTTTTTTTTTCTTTTTCTGGCTATATTTCTTCAATTGCAGTCTCATTTCTTATTCTGCTCATTTAGGAAGATTTCTTTTTTATTTCTTAGAAATGAACTAACAAAGTCGCTTGACGCTCATTAAAAGAGAAACAGACCTAGGAATACATGACGCATTTAATAGAAAAGTATAAGGCCAGCTAAGTAGACAGACTTATTAGAGGATAGATATTTCATCAAAGATTGTTCTTTTTGAGAATAATTTAATATACTTAAAATGTGTGTTGATACAAAGGCAATTAAATTGATTATTTTCCTTTTTCAAGTAACCTTTTTTCTTTTACTATTTTAGCCTGTAAAATTAAGAAGTCATAGTTGGAATGACGAAACATGTCAAAAGTCACCTAATGTGTATAGCATTTGGCATAGGAATTACTGCCCTAGATTTGAGGTCAATATTATTTCAACATCTACACCATTGAAGGAAAGTCCAAGTACTGTGGGCATTGAACAAGTGATTAGTACTAAGGGGTTAAATCTTCCAAGGAAGTCATCTGTTGTCAAAAGACCAAGAAATGGTATGTATTTTGTTTTTGTGAAATACTAGTAGTATTGGTCACATCTAAGAAATCTGTCAAATCCATGGTCACTAAGATTTTCTTCTAGAAGTCTTAGAGTTTTAGCTCTTACATTTAGATCTGTGATCCATTTTGAATTAATTTTTTCACATGGTGTGAGGTACATCTCAAGGTATTTTTTTTGTAGATGGCTGTCCAGTTGTTTCAGTATCATTTGTTAAAAAGACTATCTTTTTCACACTAAATTTAAACCAAAACCAAACTCACTGCTGTTGAGTCAGTCCTGACTCATAGCGACCCCTCCTTGGGTTTCCAAGGTGGTATCACTACGGATGTAGATTGCCCAACCTTCCTTCCGAGGAGTGGCTGGTGGGTTTGAACCGCCAGCCTTCTGGTTAGCAGTCAAGTGCCTTAGGCACTATGCCACCAGAGTTCCCTCACATTGAATTACCTTGGTTTATTTGCTGAAAATCAGTCGACCATAGATAATGTGGGTCAGATTCTCGATTCTATTATACTGTAACCTTTATCCCTTTTACCTATACCTTTATAAAGCCACACTATCTTAATTACTGTACCTTGGTAGTATATCTCAAAATGAGGTACTATGAGTCCCTTAAGTTCTTTTTAAAACTTATTTTGACTATTCTGAGGAGCCCAGGTGGCACAGTGGCTAAAGCGTTCGGCTGCTAATCAAAAGGACAGCTGTTTGCACCCAGCAGCTACTGCTCAGGAGAAAGATGTGGCAGGCTTCTGTAAAGATTCACAGCTTTAGAAATCCTATAGGACAGTTCATAAGGTTGCTACAGTTGGAATTCACTGGATGGCAGTGGGTTTGGTTTTTGTGTTTGGTTGGCTATTCTATGTTCTTTACATATATGTTCTTTTCATATAAATTTTAGTATCAGCTTGTCGATTTTTACCAAAAAATCCTGGCTTTTGATTGGATTTTAGTTGAGTCTTTAGATCACTTTGACATCTTAACAGCGTCGAGTTTTCTGATCCATTTATTTCAGTCTTGTTTCATTTAAGTTTTCAGAAATGCTTTGTAGTTCAGAGCATGTCTTGCATATATATCTGTTGTCAAATTTATTGCTAGATACTTAATGTTTTTATACTATTTTATTTTCTACTATTATAAATTGTATACATTTATTTTGATTCCTAATTGTTTTTTGCTAGTATATAGAAAGCTATAGCAAGGATTGTGAGCCTGGCACAGGCAGTATTTCGTTCTGCAGTGCACAGAGTCGCTATGAGTCAAAGATGACTGGATAGCACCTAACAACAACAGTATATAGAGATATGATTAGTTTTGTATATTGTATTCTTCAACCTTGCTAGCTCACTTATTCTAGTATCTCTTTTGTAGATTCCCTATGATTCCTATATAGATTATCATATCTTCTATAAATAAAGAGCTCTGGTAGCGTAGTGCCTAAGGCACTTGACTGCTAAGCAGAAGACTGGTGGTTCAAACCCACCAGCCACTCCTGGAAAGGAAGGTTGGACAATCTACTTCCGTAGTGATGCTGCCTTGGAAACCCAATGAGGGGTCGCTGAGTTGGGTCGGACTCGATGGCACATAACAACAACAACATAAATAAATAAAGACAGTGTTACTTTTCTCTTCTTCATTTCCAATTTTGAGAGATGCCTTTTGTTTCTTTTTCTTGCCTGCTAGAACCTGAGGTACAATGTTAAACAGAAGTGCCGACACGGAATACTAGGTATTAGGACAAAGTGTGACTTTTTTCCTCCACCATAAAAAATATTTAGAAGTGGAAAGACTAATTTTATAGTCTCTGTTCTTTCTCACTTCTTTCTCTCAGATGTCTATATGAATGAAAGACTAACAAAAACAAAGTTGTTTGTAGTCTTTAATTCTTTAATTTAATGCTTTAATTTTTTTAATTTAGGCAAGTTTTATATGTTTGACCAAAACGTTCTCACTCCTCATGAACCTAAATCTTTTTCAGGATAACAGCTCTGAATCATTGTTTCTTTGTCTGACATGGGAATGATACTTCCTGTTGCACACGTTTTTATGTATCTTATACAAGAAAATACACAGAATTACTTCAAACGTAGTAAATACACTATACATTTTCATTCCTTCCCCTCTGCTATCATCAAGACAGCCTACTCTTTTTATGTGAAGGGCTCATTATCAGTAAGTTCTTATGTCAGACTATGTTTGTTTTATTTTTACTTTACCAGTGGATTTTGTGGCCTGGCATATATATAAACAGAAAAACAAAAGCAGTAGGTTTCAACCCCACTTTTATTTGGCAGTCTTTCACATATAAAGCAGGCATTGTGACCCTCCTAAATATTTTCTTTCCTGGGCTAAATATCCCTTGTCTATCCTGGCTATGCTTTGGGTATAGTTTGATTTTTTTTGTTGTTTGCTTTTTAGTAATTGTATAACTATTACAGTGAGTATAACTGATGAGATATGGTGTAGTTACCATGTTGTTGTTGTTGTTGTTATGTGCCATCGAGTCGGCCCCGACTCATAGCGACCCCTCCTTGGGTTTCCGAGGCAGTATCACTACGGAAGTAGGATTGCCCAACCTTCCTTCCGAGGAGTGGCTGGTGGGTTTGAACCGCCAGCCTTCTGGTTAGCAGTCAAGTGCTTTAGCCACTATGCTACCAGAGCTCCTTAGAATGCAGTAAATATTTGTAATTGTGTAACTATTTCAGTCCTTCATCCAGGGACTATACTTTTATTATTACAAACTAAGATTGTCTTAGCCTTTCTTAGTCTTCTTAACATTTTGCTGGCTTTTACTGAGTTTATAATTAAAGCTTATCAGTTGCTTTTAAGCTGTTGTTGTTGTTATGTGCCTTTGAGTCGGACTCGACTCATAGCGACCCCTCCTTGGATTTCCAAGGCGGTATCACTACGGAAGTAGATTGCCCAACCTTCCTTCCGAGGAGTGCCTGGTGGTGAACTGCCAGCCTTCTGGTTAGCAGTCAAATGCCTTAGGCACTATGCTACCAGGGCTCCCACTGTTAAGCTAGGTATAGTTATTTTCTGAAATGTGGTTTAAGTTGCCCTGTTGAGGTAATCATATTAGTTTTAGTCTGTTGTTCTGCCTGTTAATGTTTTTTCTTCTTTGAATATGTACAGAAGCAGACTGCCACACCTTTCTTCCACAGAGTGGCTGGTGGGTTCAAACCATCATCAATCTTTCAGTTAGTCGAGTATTTAACCACTGCACCACCAAGGAGAGATAACTATGTCATCTGAAAATTGAGAAATGTCCATAGTATGGATCCCCATGTCTTAACGTTTTGGTTAAAATGTGTTTCATTGTATAATGTTTAAATCAGAGTAAGTACAGAAATCTAGAGCACTATATTACAGACAGCCTTCCTTTTAGTTTGACAACCATCAGCAGTCTTTTTGGGCTGTCCAATTTCCTGCAGATCCATGTAACTAATGCACAGTAGGTATTTCTTGAGTACATTGTCCATTAGGATAGTATGAGTGACAGTGAAATGTCTTGCTAAATTCAGGGTATGCTAGATCTGAGGAACTCCTGTGAATGGCTAGGCTGAAAACCTTATCACAAGAAGAAAATGAGGTTAATCTAATATAGCTTATTCATTCTGAAGCCTTGCTGGGCATACTAGAATACTGTTTCCTTCTCTAAGGGCTCACAGGTCCCTACATAATAAACAGATTTAGACTTGGCAGGAATCTATATCAAGTTTACTGATCTATAGCTTTTTTAAAATCTAGCATTTTAAAAATCTGTGGCATCATCATGTCTCTATATTCTGGTACCTCAACCATCTTACTGAATTTTTAAACATGCTCAGTTGCTAACTGAAAGGTTGGCAGTTCAAGCACACCCAGAGGCTCTTTGGATGAAAGATCTGATCATCTGAAAAATCAGCCATTAAAAACAATATGGAATGTAGTTCTGCTGTGACACACATAGGTTCACCATGAGTCAGTCAACTCTACAATGGCTAGTTACTGATAGTGCATACTTAACCTTCATGGAATGAAAGCTGTTTGGATTCTGAGAATTAGATGAACTAATTTAAAGCTATCTCTTCTCTACTTGAGGCTTGCCTACCTGAGGTTTTAACTTTTTGTATTATTTGGTGTTGAGGTATGTTCTAATACCACAGATTACATTTGATATATAGCAGTCTTTTAGAACCCCTTACCTAGGTAATGGCAGATCAATGCTAGAGCACAAATTACTTTCAACTATGAGAATCACATGTATTTCAAAACTGTAACATAGATGGTTTGTACAACTGGTGGTTTTATTGGAATATTTTTAAATTGATCATACATTTACATGTAAATTGTCTCTAAAAAATATTTTTATACTAAAAATGAGATCCTTAGTATAATAAGTAAATATAAAAGCCATTAATTAATTTCGGTTTGGATCAGGTTACATAAAATTGAATAAATAATTAACATTAAATCGTAAGTGATTTGTGTAATTTTAAATACAGTTGAAGCAATTTTTTGAGCCATCCTCATTTCCTCTTTTGGAGTATAATTAAAAAGATTTCATTCTCAGAACTGTAGGTTATAAATTGTGAAGTTAAGACTAAATCTCTAACTACAAATGAAACAAAGATTTACAGATAATTTTGTTTTCATTTAGAAGAGCTATCAGAAGATGATCTCTTGGGTCAATATTCTCTTTCGTGTATAAAGAAGACCAAGAAAGATAACTGTGAAAGCAATAAATCACTGAACTCTTCTGAAATGTTCCTACCTGACCTGGTAGATGGAACTGCTAGTAAAAAAAGCTTAAGCACACTGCCTAGGACAAGAAATAAGTTTGCAACATTTTTACAAAGAAAACAGGAAGAAAGTGGTGCAGTTGTTGTTCCAGGGACCAGAAGCAGGTATAGTTATATCTACAGAATGTTATTTGTCTGTTATATTGTATACTATATTGGTGTTTATTTTGTCTTGAAGAAACAATGAAAGTGGTGGGTTGGTGTAGGATTTGGTTTAATCTGATTACAAATTTATCATGTGTTGCTTTATTTCAGACTTAAATGTTCTGTTGCCTTAAAGTACTTCTATTACTTTTGTAATCTTTCCATTCAGAATCAAAATGAGAGGATTATTAACCTAGTTACATTCTACATCGAATGTAGATACTTCAGAGTTCTAATATTAATTAAGGAGCTCTGGTAGCATAGTGCCTAAGGCACTTGACTGCTAACTAGAAGGCTGGTGGTTCAAACCCATCAGCCACTCCTCAGAAGGAAGGTTGGGCAGTCTACTTCCATAGGGATACCGCCTCGGAAACCCAAGGAGGGGTTGCTATGAGTCGGGTCTGACTCGATGGCACATAACAATAACAATATTAATTGAGAACTCAATACTAGGTACTATGGTTACAAAAATAAAAAATATATAGTCTCTGTTTCTGAGAACCTTATAGTCTAGTTGAGCAAGTTAGTACATAAAATATTTTTATATGGTTTGGTGAGTACAGTGATACAAGTATGCATAAGATGCTTTGAAAACACTGAAGGGATATCTGATACCAGGGCAGTGGTTGCAGAGGGTAAGAGAGAAGAGTGTCAAATGCTGCTATTGTGATAAAGCAGACAAAGAATGGAGCCGAGTACCTTCAAAGTAAAGGCACACAGCTTGACCAAAGGCGTGGATGTGGGGAACACTACTCACTGTTGATGTTGCTAGTACTTTTACTGCCACAGTAGAAACTGGGGAAAGGTAGATGATGAGGGAGCAGGAAAAAAGCCAGAGGCCAGTTCACGGAAGGCTTGTATGCCAAGCTAAGAGTGTTTTGTTTAGAGATGATAGACTGTATTTAGAGGGTTTTAATTGGGAGGATTGTGAAGATTGTTTTAGAGGAATCAATCTGAGTACCTTGTGAAGAATGGATTTGAGAGACCCAAAAGTGGAGCCAGAAGGTCAGTGGGTCAGTTGCTGTGGTCCAGGTGAGCAATGATGAGATGTTGAAGAGTCAGTGGGACCTGCAGTCAGGTGCCATCAAGTTGGTTCTGATTCATACTGACCCTTTGTAGAACAGAATGAAATAATGTGTGGTCTTGTGCCATCCTCACAGTCGTGGCTATGTTTAAGCCCATTGTTGTAGCCACTGTGTCAGTCCATCTCATTGAGGGTCATCCTCTCTTTTGCTGACCTTTTCCTTTACCAAACATGATGTCCTTTTCCAGGGAGTAGCCCCTCTTGAGAAGTGTCCAAAGTGTGTGAGACAAAGTCTCACTATCCTCACTTCTAAGTCTGTACTTCTTCAAAGATAAATTTGTTCATTTTTCTTATAGCCCATGGTATATTTAATTTTATTTATCAGCACCATAGTTCAGAGGCATCAATTCTTCATTCTACCTTTCTCATGCATATGAGGTGATTAAAAATCCCATTACTTGGGTCAGGTGCACCTTAGTTCTCAAAGTGACATCTTTGCTTTCTAACATTTTGAAGAGGTATTTTTTGCAGTGGACTTGCCTAATGCAATAAATACATCATTTTACATCATTTGATTTTTTTGACTGCTGCTTCATTGATCGTGAATCCAAGTGAAAGGAAATCCTTGATGACATCAATCTTCCTTGATATTTATTGCTGTATAACTTTCTCTCTCTCTTACAGCCATCGAGTTGAATCTGACTCATAGCGACCCCTCCTTGGGTTTCCAAGGCAGTATCTCTGCAGAAGCAGATTGCCCAATCTTCCTTCCGAGGAGTGGCTGGTGGGTTTGAACCACCGGCCTTCTGGTTAGCAGTCAAATTGCCTTAGGCACTACGCCACCTTAGGGGTTAGAAATTTGGATTTGAGTCAGGCCATCTAGATTTGAATCCTGTCTTGTCTGCTCATTAGATGTTTGAGTTGGGCAAATTAAATTGAGTGCTTCAGTTTCCTTGTTTGAAAAAAAAGTGGGGATAATCACTACAACAGTTTCAAGGTTGTTGAGAGGATTAGATTTAGTTATTGTAAATGTCTAAAACAGTGCCTGACTTCACAAACATACAATAAATAGTGCTTATTTTATTGTTTTTGGATAATGGGACCATGATGTGAAATAGGAATATTAAATGTCAAAAGTTATTTAGGCATGATAGAGTAACTCTAAGAAAAAGAAAATTTACCAACTCTATATTCCTCTAGAAGACTTAGAATGGATTTGTGTGTGTGTGTGTGTGTGTTTCAATTTTAATAAATCAGCCCACAGCTAAGTTTTGTCTAACCATGTTAGTGAGAATAGGTATGAATGAATGAACCACTGAAATCCCTAAGACTCACCCTAGGTGATACTTCTTATCAAGTCTTTTTAAGAAGCATTCACAAAACAAGGAGCCCTGGTGATGCAGGCATTAAGCGTTTGTCTGCTAACTGAAAGATTGGCAGTTTGAATCTAACAGCTGCTGTGCTAGAAAAAGATGTGGCAGTCTGCTTCTATAAAGATTACAGACTTGGAAACTTCATGGGGCAGTACCACTCTGTCCTCTGAGCTTGCTGTGAGTCAGTATCGACCCAACTGCAATAAGTTGGGTTTGGTTGAGTTTAGTTTGGTTTTGGTTTATTCAGAAAATACAATTAAATGATAATTTTGATTCTTTTGGCAGTTACCTTCATTAGATGTATTTTAACCATTTCCCACAAAAGACGGAAAACAAAGGTTCTTGGTGATAGTTACTGATTAGTAAGTTCTAGAAAGTTGACTCCTCTCACTTGGAGAAATTTTTAGAAATAGTATTCCATTTTTCTGTTGGGATGAGAAATAAAGTTTCTCTTTCCCACTGCTTAGTGCTTAACTGCTCTTTGAAGACAACTAATTAGAATAACAATTGCATAATCTCTCTACAGGATTTGCCTATTTAACCATTCTAGAAAGTTAATAAAAAATAAGTTTAAGGCTATGCCCAGCTGCTTTATATAATAAATTTTTCAGCGAGTACTTCAAGAAATGCCTACAAGAAGTAAATCTTCTCTCCATCAGCTTCCTTTGAATAATAATTTTGACTTACAGTTTTCTGGCCTGGATTATATAGCAACATCTAATAAGAATGAAATATTATAAAATTAGGTTTTTTAACTAATTTTCAAAGTTATTTTCCATATTTATATTCCTAATATTTGAGATATGCAATGGTGTGATTTTCTCTATTTTAGAGGTTGAGAAAGTGAGGCTGTGAGAGGTTTAAGAAACTTTCACAGAGTTCTATAGTTAGTATAGTGATAGGAGAAATCCCAGTCATAGTGCTATGGAGTGAAAAGAAGACCGATCTGCTAGACCTGGATCTGAATTCTGTTCTGTCATCTTATTAGCTGAGAGATCTTTCACACACTAATATTCAACTTCCCTGAGGCTATTTCTTTGTCTATAAAATGTGCATGAACATACACATAAGGTTGTCATGAAGATGAATAGAAGTTGTGAATATCAGGCACCCAGCACAGTGCCCAAAGTCTATTTTAAATATTCCTTATTTTTATTGTATGGATACTTATTTTAGAAACATCACTTTATCACTTAGTAACACCATAGGCTAATTGTGTAGAAGAAGCTATCAACTTGGAAGAGTTCTGGGCTTGAATTCTTTTCTCCAGCTGGTTAATTTTATGAGCCTGAGCATTGTCACTATAACTTCTCTTTTCCCGTGAACAAATAATGGAAGAGTATTTGGACTCTAAAAAGAAATTAAAGAGTATAAATATGATAGAGATTAGTTTTCATTTTAAAAATGAGTGATGTGATCAGATCAAGGAGCTGACGGTTTCTCTTCAGTGAAGACTTGGTAAGACCTTCCCTTCCATGTGCTACTGCTTCCTACCCTATACCCACAAAACTTATCTTGGAAGTTTGATAAAAGGATAGAGAGGATTCTTACTCTGGATTTTTAGTCGATTTTTCTGCTTTTCATCTTGGATTTGTACTAATGTATATTACCAGGAAAGTAAATTCTCCTTAAATATCATATTTATCTGATTATGTAATCTAGGGTTTTTATTTTTAAAACCTAAAAACTCCTGGAATAATAGAGATACTTATCATTCTGACATTTGTATTGAAATGTTTTTAAGTGACATTTTATTTCTAACGCTGATAAACTGATCGAATACTCTGTAGTAATATTAAATTTAATAGTTGATTTCAAAGTTCTACCATCAATATTCGAAATCATGTAGAAGTTTATATAGGTTATGTAACAAGCTAGTAGTAGCATTCATGTCCTGCCTTATTAAAAGGTTCTGCATGCTCTGATACTAGGAATAAAATTAGTATAATTTTTTTCTTGCTTGCTACACATATGGGCAAAATTATAAATAGTCCTTTCCGTGCATATTTTCTTATCTGTTCAAATATTTGACTACCAGCCATGTGTTAGCCACTATTTTAGATACTGTACAGAATACAAAGTTATAAGAACAGGAGCCTGTATTCTGTTTGGGAATTAAAAGTGTTTGGAGAAAGAACACTTATATGGTGATTAAGTATAGGTAAAATACACAAGCTCTAAATACACGTGTGTATAAATAACTGCTTTTATATACTACTACTATTACTCACTGCCTTTAAGTTGGATCTGACTCATAGCGAACCCTCCTTGGGTTTCCGAGGTGGTATCACTATGAAAGTAGATCGCCCAGTCTTCCTTCTGACTTTTATATAGTTCTGTCTAAATAGTGTCTAAAATGTGTGGATGTTGGCATGATCAAAATTTAAACTTTGAAGCTTAAAAACCTGTATTGCGTTTGTTTATGAAAACTTATGAGGATTTTCTTTTCAAAGAAACTGAACCATTATTCCATTTGAATCTTGATCCCCTTGTGAAGAAACACTGGGATACTTATCCATATTTCTATTGTCTTAGGTTTTTTTGCAGTTCTCTAGATTCTGCTGATTGTCTATCAAAGAAAGAAAGCAGCCAGCCTTTAGATGAAAGTGCTGTCACAGATGAAGAGACCAATCTAAAAGAACCAGATTGTCTCAATAGCAAGAAACTGGTTGATACAGACACAGCACATGATTCAAGTGATCAGATTCCAGGTGATTTAACTGTGTTTGCTGATGAAGAGTCTCAGCCCAGCAGATTCACAAGGACCATCTCACCACCCACTCTGGGAACTCTAAGAAGTTGTTTTAGTTGGTCTGGAAGCCTTGGAGATTTTTCAAGAACTTCTAGCCCCTCTCCAAGTGCAACACTGCCGCAGTTCCGTAGAGAGGGGGATTCTCCCAGCTCTCTGCCTGAGAAGAATAAGATGGCTGATCTCTCTCCACTGAAGAGTGATGAGTCAGGGAATGAATCTCGTTCCTTGTCCCAGGAAAGCATAGAATTATCACTGCACAATTCAAATGTATCAAAACTTTCTCAACCATCTAGTAAGGATTCAGATTCAGAGGTAAGTCACATTATGAAGCCTTTATTTTCAAATTCATGTGCAACTGAAAATAAAATGTCAAGTAGGATAATTGAGGGAATTTTGCCTAGATTATGTAAGGAATTATCTGTCTTAATTTTTTACCATAAACCCTATAATGTAAAAGTTCCCATTTCATTCGTTTGAAGGACTTCTATCTTCTATGTTTGACACTCTTGTACATGCAATATAAATATATACCTCTTGAATCACTCTATTTCTATTGATAGGCATCTCAAGTTGTGAAACAGTTAATACCTAAGCAGAATGATAAGCGATGGAATGAAAAATTATTATGTATACAATATTTATATCCTTAAAATACTCTTGAATTCAGTAACATTTGAGATCTTTATTTTTCACTTTGTAAAGAAATGGCCCCTTTAACGTGATGGTTTAATACTCCGTCTTAGCTTTCAGCACTTTAGAAATATGTGTTTACTCAGTCTTATTCACACTAAGCTTTCTCTTTTATAACAAAAGAAAATAATAATATAAATCATTTTATATTATTCTGTTTTAAATTAATAAAATCATCCTATCTTTTTTCTTATATCCAAAGTGTCTTTTATTCTTATTTATGTAAATTCAATCTCCAAATAAGTACTAGTCATACGATCTAGTTATATTAAATAGAAAACCTGTGAAAGCCAGAATTTGATGGAAGTGCCTTGTTTTCCCAGGTCTCATAAGTTTTCCGCCTTTGACAAGGTGAAACTTACTACTTTTTGATTGCTCGTTTTAGTGGAAAATATTTGAGATTTTCGTATCTGACAGATTTCTGCCTTATACCGATTCTGGCTTTTGCTAGTTTTGCTGTATTTAAAAATGACATGATGGCATAATATCTTTCTTTAAATCTGGGTTCTTTTAAATTAAACATACTCATTTATCTTTATCAGTTATAATGACCAAATTGTAAGAGCAGTTGTAGGCACAGTCATATTTGACAAAATTTTGATATCTGATATTCCTGGATTGTTGTTGTTATGTGCCATCAAGTCAGACCCAACTCATAATGACCTCTCCTTGGGTTTCCGAGACAGTATCACTATGGAAGTAGATTGCCCAACCTTCCTTCTGAGGAGTGGCTGGTGGGTTTGAACCGCCAGCCTTCCAGTTAGCAGTCAAGTGCTTTAGGCACTATGCTACCAGGGCTCCTAGATAGTCCTGGATATTGGATAGTATTTAATAAATCTATATAGCTTGTGTTTATAAGAAAAAAAAACTGATTCAAGTTCCCAAATGAAATGTAATTTGGACTCAAATTGAATAATAATACCTAGTTAATAGGTAGAAATAAATTGCTCCTTATTAGAAGAAAGTCGAATAATTTATATATTTGAATCCAAAATGTTTTTCTTGTGGCATTTTTTAAGTTCCTAAGGGTGGACCAAGCCAAGAGGTTTTTACTATATTTTCTCCTTCTCTCATTTTGCCTTCAATTTCTCTGTACTGAGTACTGTCCATGCTAGTGTAGAAGACTCAGTTTCGTTTTTAATATTAGCCTCTGTTTCAATGTCATCTTTTTAATTTTTCACATTCTTCTGGCACTGTTTGGGTACTCTTTGCTGAAAATAATTCAAAATGGTTGTGGCCATACATAGGGAACTTCGAGAAATTCAAGCTGGATTCAGAAGAGGATGTGGAGAGAGGGATATCATTGCTGATGTCAGATGGATCTTGGCCAAAAGCAGAGAATACTGGAAAGTTGTTTATAGGTGTTTTATTGGCTGCACAAAGATATTGACTGCATGGATCATAACAAATTATTGATAACATTATGAAAAAAGGAAGTTCAGAACTCTTAATTTGGCTTATGAGGAACCTGTCCATGGACCAGAAGCAAAGATTCTAACAGAATAAGGGAATACTACATCATTTAAAATCAAGAGAGGAGTGCATCAAGGTTGGATCTTTTCACCATATTTATTCACTCTATATGCTGAGTGGGAGGAAGATGGGGCAATCTACTTCCATAGTGATACTGCCTCGGAAACCCAAGGAGGGGTCTCTGTGAGTTGGGTCTGACTTGAGGGCACATAACAACAACAACATATGCTGAGTAAATAATCTGAGAAACTATATGAGGAAGAACATGACATCAGGATTGAAAGAAGACTCATTAACAACCTGTGATATGCAGATGACATAACCTTGCTTGCTGAAACCAAAGGGGACTTGAAGCACTTAACTGTTATAGATCAAAGACTACAGTCTTCAGTATGAAATGCATCTCGACATAAAGAAAACAAAAATCTTCACAATTGGACTAATAAGCAACATCATGTTAAACACAGAAAAGATTGAAGTTGTCATTTAACTTGGATTCATAATCACTGTCCATGGAAGCAGCACTCAGAAAATCAAATGACATATTTTTTGGGCAAATCTGCTGCAAAAGACCTTTTTCAAGGGTTGAAAAGCAAAGATGTGTCCTTGAAGACTAAGATGTGCCTAATCTAAGTCATGATATTTTCAGTTTCTTCATATACATGTGAAAGCTGGACAATCAATCAGGAAGACCAAAGAAGAGTTGATGCCTTTGAATTATGGTGTGGGCAAAGAGTATCAAATGTACCATAGACTACCAGAAGAACAAACAAGTTTGTCTTGGATGAAGCACAGGCAGAATGCTCCTTAGAAGCATGGATGCTAAGACTTTGCTTCACATACTTCGGTCATGTTGTCAGGTGGGATCAGTGTTTAGAGAAGCATATGCTTAATAAAGAAGATGGTCTGCACAAAAGAGGAAGACTCTCAAGGAGATAGACCGACACAGTAGCTGTAGCAGTAGGCTCAAGTATAGCAAAGATTGTGAGAATGACGCAGTACCAGGCATTGTTTCATTCTGTTGTACGTAGGGTCACTATGAATTGGAACCAATTTGGTGGCACCTAACAACAATAACATTTGGGTACCACCACAGTTGCTATCTCTTGAACATCTTTCATGAAAACATTACTGTCTATTCGTAAGGATACTTTTAAGTCTACTAAGCTCCTTTGGGAAATATTTTTTCTTTTTCTAGCTTGCATCTTTTTGTTCCACTCACTTCGTATTTGTAAATCTTTAGCCATATTTTACTGAGAAGCCTTACCATCCCATAGTCCGTGAGCTGGTCATGCTGACCAGAATTGTCTACACTTGTATCTTCTGCAGTAGCCATCTTTCTGTACTAATCAGGGAAACACGAAGCTCCCCATCCCTGAATGCACATTAAAGAAAACTAGGAGTCATTTATGAAGTTATCTCTCTTGCCATCACATGTAGTAAACCTTTATTAGGATAGATGAATTGTTAGTTGTCAAAGAATTGGATGCCAGGAGTTAACATAAAAAACTAAAACGTCTTTTGATTCACAAAATGTTTCAGAAATCTACAGTGTCATTGGGGCTTCATTTTGAATATTCATTTTCATTATAAGATTGTGAAGAAAATGTTTCTCCACTGGAGCCTTCCATCAGTAGTTTACTATAAACAGCAACAACCGTGGATTCTGTGGGCATTGAATTCACTGACCCTGTTGTTGTCAGGTGCTATCAAGTTGATTCTGATTCATAGAGACCTCAAGTGACAGAGTAAAACTGTGCCATAGGATTTCCTACACTGTAATCTTTATGGGAGCAGATTGTGAGGAGTTTTCTACGCAGAGGGGCTGGTGGGTTCAAACCACCAACCTTTTGGATAGTAGTGGAGTTCTTAACCATTGTGCCATTGGGGGCCTTTTCAGTGACCTTCCAAAAACAAAAGACAAACACAGATACATCTAGTGAATTCCCACTCATGCACTTTAACCATTGCACCATCAGCGTTCCTTTAACTGACCTTACTTGAGGTAAATTAATCTTAGGATAGAAGTATAAAGACCTTATTTTAAGAAAGAATTTATCTCAGAGTTAATACTACTATTAGCCATGAACAAGGAATATTAGAGTTTCTGTAAGTTAAAAATACAAGTTAATGATGTATTTTTCAATATTGGGTTATTTTTAAAAATATATACCATTGTGTAAGGAGCCCAGGTGGCACAGTGGTTAAATGCTGGCTTACTAACCAAAAGATTGGCAACTCGAACCCACCAGCCACTCTGTACTATGAGCTGGAATTGACCCAACAGCAATGGGGTGAATATATTGAGAATATTGTGTAGAATCTGAAAATAAATACAATATTTGTAAAAAAAAAAAAAAAAAACCCTCCTGAAAAAATGGATGTCTTCTAGATTTTATTTCATTGTCCTTTTTTTTTTAATGACTTAACATGGGAATCCAGATAATGGGAAAACTTCATCTATAAATAAGTCTTACATTGTGGAGCTAGAGGTGGATAATGGGTCTTAAAGTACTACTAGAGTTAAATGTGCAATACTGCTCTACTTCTTAAATGTAGATGTCTTATTTTTTCTCTTCAATGTCAAATATGGTTACAATTAAGACATGTGCTGTACTAATTAACCTTTTGTACTTAGTAATTTATGAAAGCTATTACCCAAGCTAATGAAGATGGAAAAAATGAAAATTTTTACCAACTTCTGCAGTCTGAAATTGATCAAATATGCAACTAAGATGCCTTGATAATTATTGACAATTGGAATGTAAAAGTCAGAAAAGAAGGATCAATATTTGGAAAATATGACATGGTGATAGAAATGACATCAAAGATCACATAGAATTTTGCAAGACTAACAACTTTTTCATTGCAGATATCTTTTGTCAACAAAATAAACAGCAACTATACAAATGGTTCTCGCCAGATCAAATATACAAGGAGCAAATTGACTACATTTATGGAAATATATGGTAGCTCTGATAGTGTAGTGCCTAAGGCACTTGACTGTTAACCAGAAGGCTGGCGGTTCACACCCACCAGCCACTCCTCAGAAGGAAGATGGGGCAATCTACTTCCGTAGTGATACAGCCTTGGAAACCCAAGGAAGGGTCGCTATGAGTCAGGTCCGACTCGACGGCACATAACAACAACAACAGCATGGAAATATATGATGGAGGAGCTCAACATAATCATCCAGAACATGACCAGAGGCTAACTGTGGAACAGACCTTTGATTGCTTATATGCAAGTTCAAGTTGAAGCTGAAGAAAATTAAAACAAGTCTATGAGAGCCAAAATATAACCTTGATTATAACCTACTTGAATTTAGAGACCATCTTAAGAATAGATTTGATGCATTGAAATACCAGTGACCAAAGACCAGACAAGTTGTTGGGTGACATCAAGAGCATCATATATGAGTAAAACCAAAAGTCATTTAAACAACAGGAAAAGACCAAAATGAATGTCAGAAGACACTCTGAAATTTGCTCTTGAACGGAGAGTAGCTAAAACAAATGGAAGATAAGATAAAAGAGCTGAACATTAGATTTCAAAGGGTGGTTTGAGAGGATAAAGTAAAGTGTTATAATGAAATGTGACCTAGAGTTTGAAAATAAAAAGGGGAAGAACATGCTCTTTATTTCTCAGGCTTAAAGAACTGAAGAAAAAATTCAAGACTTGAGTTGTAGTATTGAAAAATTCTATGGGCAAAATATTGAATGATGCAGAAAGCACTGTACAAAAAGAGTTGATTGACATTCATCCACTTCAGGAGGTATCAAATGATTAAGAACCAATCATACTGAAGGAAGAAGTCCAAGCTGCAATGAAGGAATTGGTTAAAAAAAAAAAAAGGCTTCAGTAATTGACCGAATATCTGTTTCTCAAAATGTTTCAACAAATGGATGCTGCACTTGAGGTGCTCACTTGTTTATGCCAAGAAATTTGGAAGACAGCTACCTGGCCTACTGACTATGCAAAGGCATTAGAATGCATGGATCATAACAAATTACAGATAACATTGTGAAGAATGGGAATTCCAGAACACTTCATTGTGCTCATGAGGAACCTGTATGTAGACCAAGAGGCAGTTGTTCCAACAGAACAAGGGGGCACTGCATGGTTTAAAATTAAGAAAAGTCTGCATCAGGGGTATATCCTTTCACTATACTTATTCAATCTGTATGTGAACAAATAATCCTAGATGGCTGGTTATATGAAGAAGAAAGTGGCATCAGAGTTGGAAGAAGGCTCATTAACAACCTGGTATGCAGATGACACAACCTTGCTTGGTGAAAGTGAAGATGAAGTACTTATTAATGAAGATCAAAGACTACAGTCTTTGGGTATGGATAAAGAAATAAAAAATCCTCACAATTGGACCAGTAAAGTAGTATCATAATAAATGGACCACAGTCAACACCTATGGAAACGGCAATCCAGAAAGCAGATATATTGCACTGCACAAATATGCTGCAAAAGACCTTTTTAAAGTGTTAAAGGACAAAGATGTCACTTTGAAGACTAAGGTGCACCTAACTGAAGGCATGCTATTTTCAGTAGCCTCATATGCATGTGAAAGCTAAATAAGGAGTAAAGAAGACCACAGAATAATTGATGCGTTTAAATTTTGGTATTGGCAAAGACTATTAGAAATACCATGGACTGTCTGAAGAACAAACAAGTCTGTCTTGGAATAAGTACAACCATAATGTTCCTTGGAAGCAAGAATGGCCGGACTTCATTTCACGTAATTAGGTCATGTTGGCAGAAAAGACCAGTTCCTGGAAAAAGATATCATACTTAGTAAAGTAGAGGATGAACGAAAAAGGGGAAGGCCCTCAACAAGATGGATTGATACAGAGGCTGCAGTGATGGACTCAAAACATAGAATGATTTTGAGGATGGCCCCGTACCATACTTTGTTTCATTCTATTGTACACAGGGTTGCTAGGAGTCAGAACAGACTCAGTGGCATCTAACAACAACATGAGTAGGAACTGATTTGACAGCACCTAACAGCAGCAGGAGACTCTTGTTTTATCTTTTATCTGAGTTGGTATTTTGAGAGATGGCTGAAACGGTTCAGAAAATCTCCAATTTTAAAAATATACTTTGTTATACAATTTACCTCTCTAACTAACTAGAAGGAGCTCTGGTAGCTTAGTGCTTAAGGCACTTGACTGCTAACCAGAAGGCTGGCGGTTCAAACCCACCAGCCACTCCTTGGAAGGAAGATGGGGCAATCTATTTCCGTAGTGATACTGCCTCGGAAACCCAAGGAGGGGTCGCTATGAGTCGGGTCCGACTCGACGGCACATAACAACAACTAACTAGAATGTCTAGTTGTTTCTTCAGTAAAATCACTGGCAGACACCCATTTTGTATTGGATTTGTTTTCATTTATTAAGTCTAATGTTTTCATTTGTTCTTTTCTGAGAAATTTTTATTTACACTGTTTTTTCTAATTTTACTTGTTTTACATTTCGTTGAATATTTGTTGTTATAAAAAAATTCCAGAGTAAAAATCTAATTTTCTTTTTTCTTTTTTAATCTGGGGCATGTAGGAATCTGACTGTAATTTTAAGTCACCAGCTAATCAAGGTTATCAAAACTCCAAGATGCATTTATCTCATTTTTCAAAAAAAGACAAACTTCTAAGGAACAAGGTAAAATATTTACTTTAAAAAAATGTTTGTTTTTCTTTAATTTCAGAAGCAATGCTTGCTCATTATAAAAAAGTGAGAAATATAAGCAAAATTAAAATACAGATATTTATGATCTGTAAAGGATATGATGAAGAGCACTTAGTGTCTGGGTTTTTTTTGTACATCTAATTGTTAATATGTTGCAGTGATTAATTTGCTGATGTTATCATTCTCATATAGTCACTCTTAGATGTTCAGTGTTGTAATTTACTGTTCTAAACACTGACAGATTTATAAAGATACTGATAATCAAAGGAAATAATAATGAAAACAGTATGTATTTGACTTATGTCAGAACCAACTTACAATGAAGTCTTCAGAAGAAAATCCTTTTGTAAGTCGGGGACTACTAGTTACTGTATTCTTATTTACAAGAATCCCTGGTTGTGTGACTCGTTCACCAACTTGCTGCTAACCAAAAGAATGGTGCTTCAAATCCATCTAGAGGTTCCTTGGAAGAAAGGCCTGGTGATCTACTTCTGAAAAATCAGTCATTGCAAACCCTTTGGAACACAGTTCTATTGTGGTACACTTCAAAGCTTTATGAATCAGAAATATCTTGATGGCAATTGGTTTTTAATTATTATTCTTATTTACACAAAAATTACTACCTTCAAATTTACCAGAACTATGTTTAGGGTGCTCTAGTGGCATGGTGGTTAAAGAATTTGGCTGCTGATCAAAAGGTCAAAGATTCTAGTTCATCAGCCACTCTACAGGAGAAAGATGGGGCAGTCTGCTTCCATAAAGATTCAGAGCCTTAGAAACCCTATGGGGCAGTTCTAGTCTGTCCTAAAGGGTCACTGTGAGTCGTAGTCAATGCAATGGCCATTGATTTGGGTATAACCATGTTTGTGTGTGATTATACGTATTTAGGTTGTGAAACTTGCCATTTTCTTTTGCAGTGTATTATATATTAAAAATTTTTTCATCTATTTATATAATTACATATAATGGCTGTACTATGGTTTAGCTAATCTCTTTATGTTTGTCATTTACCCTTTAAAACTTTTACTTTAGCAAATAGTATTATAACTACAATCTTGTGGCTAAACATTTGAGTACACATTCTTATTTTCTAGAGATGAATTCCATGGAGTGGCATTATTGGTCCAAAGCATGTCTAAGTCTTTGATATGTTTTGCCAAAAGGCTTTCTGGAAACTGCCAGATAATAAGCCAGTTTTAAAATCAAAATAGATAAATATTTGGGTGGCTGCATAATGAAAGCTCCCAAGTTAAAATAAAGCATATTTGATATTTTAAATGTTCTGCCCATTAGTAGGAAATCACTAATCCCTAACTAAAAAATGGGCTTTGGGTATGAACAGAAATCAGAAAATAAAAAGTACATATGACTGAATAATATACTTTAAAAGCATGTTCATCCTTACTCATATTCAAAGAATGCAAATTAAAATCTAATAGCATAAAAACATTTTTAACGTTTCAATAAATGATCTTCATACCCATTTGAAAGCAGATTCCCATTTTATTACTGGATAAACATAAATCCTGTTAGGCCGAAGTAAACCCAAGCCACCACTGTGTCAGTTGGCAGCTTCCTCCAGGTGTCAGGCCTTGATGAGACAGCCTGATAAGACAACAGAGGTGACAGAACCTGCCCAGACTGGAAAGCCCCATGTGATGACAAACTTCCTCCTGTGAAGCCCCCTCATGCTAATTAGGTGCAGACCCATGCCAACATCTAATTGGACCCTGTCATTTCCTTAGTGTGCCCAATTAGATCCTCTCTGTGTCTATAAGGAGCTCTGGTAGCATAGTGCCTAAGGCACTTGACTGCTAACCAGAAGGCTGGGGTTCAAACCCACCAGCCACTTCTCGGAAGGGAGGTTGGGTATTCCTACTTCCGTAGTGATACTGCCTCAGAAACCCAAGGAGGGGTCGCTATGAGTCGGGGCCGACTCGATGGCAAATAACAACAACAACTGTGTCTATAAGAATCTATCCCCCCTGCCCGGGGGTGTGACTTCTCTGGCCTTGATGCTAGGGCATGAGAACCTCGCCCGGGAGTGCTAATAAACTACTTCTCTGAAACAACTCCGTGTCCTGGTGTCTCGGCAGCTCTGCATTCCAAATCCCAAGTAGATTAAATAGATATAAATACAAAATATATAAATTTGTTGTTGTTTGCCGTCGAGTCGGCCCCGACTCATAGCGACCCCTCCTTGGGTTTCCGAGGCAGTATCACTACGGAAGTAGGATTGCCCAACCTTCCTTCCCAGGAGTGGCTGGTGGGTTTGAACCGCCAGCCTTCTGGTGAGCAGTCAAGTGCCTTAGGCACTATGTTACCAGAGCTCCTATATAAATTTGAGACTATTTTAAAATCTTTGAGTAGGAAGGGCTTTTTCAAGCATACATAAGAAACGTCATTGCCCTTGAGACAGTTCTGACTCACAGTGACCATATAGGACAGAGTACCCCTGCTACATCTTCTGCGGAGTGATGTGGGTTCAACCTACTGACCTTGAAATGCTAAATGCACACATACGTATGTTTGTATAGTCATAATTAAAAGTCTGGAAAAGTTCCTAAAAAATTATTTGCACTGATAGATAGGATTTGACATGTAGTAAGGTACCTTCCCAAAAGGAAGTAAAACATCATCTAGTCAGTAAAACATTATCTTTTTTTTTTCTCTCAGATCTGCATTGTCAAGTTTTACCATCATTCTGTTTTGATGACTCTCCAGATGAACCTTCTCCCTTGTTTTCCTCTTTACTATCTAAACCAAAGTAATTTTTTTTTTTTTTTTTAACTTCTGACCAGCTCTTCCCAGAACTTTTTGTCTGCTAAATTAAATTATGGCCCAGGGGATGGCCTTGGGCCTAAGGCATTCGCCTGCCAAGTGCAAGGCTGGTGGTTCAAACCCACTAGCCGCTCCCCACAAGGTAGATTGGGCCATCTCTTTCAGGAGCTCTGGTAGCATAGTGCCTAAGCCACTTGACTGCTAACCAGAAGGCTGGTGGTTCAAACCCACTGGCCACTCCTCAGAAGGAAGATGGGGCAATCTACTTCTGTAGTGATACTGCCTTGGAAACGCAAGGAGGGATCGCTATGAGTTGGGTCTGACTCGACGGCACATAACAACAACAACAACAAATTAAATTATATTATCTCTCTGATGATTAATTTCAAAATCTGGGCACTATCTTTTTTCTTTATAACTGCCAGTTCAATCCTCTGCACAGGTTAAAGGACAACAACCAAACATCTATACCTATCCAAATCCTAACATTTCTTTCTTTCTCTTGTCTTTTGCTCATGTTCCTTTTTTCCTCATCACTAGCACCCTACTTCAAGATTGCATCTTTTATTTGTGCACCATTAATCAGTTTTAAAGCTTTATTTTATATACCTCATTCTCACTATCCTTAAAAACAAAAGCAACATTTCATTTGGTCCATATTAATCACAGAATAAACATTAACTATTCAATAGAAACAACTTAAAATGTCAGTAGAAATTTGTTTAAGTAAATTATGACACATGTGTAATGGAAGAATGGGCAATCTATTTAAAAAAAAAAAAAAATTCAGTTCTACTTGTGAAATGGAAAAATCTCCAAAATACATTGCTAAGTGGAGTCTAAATATATTATTGAGAAAAACAAAGTACACAGCAGTACTCTGATAATTGTGTGTATGTGTGTATCTAAATAATTGAGCAGATACACTGGTAATGGTGATTGGCTCTGGGGAGAGAAGGGAATGCAAGAAACTTTACCTTTGTAACTCCTAAATTTTGTGCACATGTATGTATTACCTGTTAAAGTAATTATGATAATTTCTGCAATAAACCAAACCCACTGCCATCTAGACAGTTCCAACTCATAGTGATCCCCATTGGGTTTCCAAGGCTGTAAATCTTAACTGAAATAGATTGTCTGATCTTCCTCACCCAGAGCAGCTGGTGGATGTGAACTGCCGACCTTGTTAACAGCCAAATGCCTCATCCACTATGTCACCAGAGTTCCTTTAAAATAGCACATTTTTACCCATTGCTTATGGATTATTTCTGTGTGCCAATGTTTAATGAATAATATGTAATTAACTTAAGGTAGTTGCTATAACAAAATACTCTTAAAAACTGGAGCATTTAATCTTCAGGTTCCTGGGCTATATAAGTCTAGTTCCTTGGACTCTCTTTCTACAACCAAGATCAAGCCTCTAGTGCCTGCCAAAGTCAGTGGGCTGAGTAAGAAACCAACAAGCATCCAGAGAAGAAATCATCATAATGCTGAAAACAAGCCAGGATTGCAGATAAAAATCAGTGAGCTCTGGAAAAATTTTGGATTTAAAAAGTGAGTTGACTCATTCCTTATCCTAAAATAGAAAAAATTACTTCTTTTCTCTAATTTCAATACCTTTCTTCCAACTCTTTCTAGTTTCTTATGAATTGATTTCTGTTCCTCTCAGCATAAGAAATTATTTTCCTCTGGTCCATTTAGCTGCATATATGTAACTTTAATTTCTATATTTTCTGCTTATAAAAGCTGGTAAACTAAGAAAATCTCAGTTCAAAACCTAGCTTTGGAATCTTCTTTATTAGGCAAGTTACTTTTCCAGTCCCTACATTTCTTAGCTTTCTCTCTTATCCGTCAGGATTGTAATGAGAATAGAGTTATTTTAAGCAAGAGGTAGGAGGGTAATATTGTTACAATTCTGTATTTAAAGATACATATTTCTCTAAATGGTCACATCCAAAATGAGGGGAAGTCATTGAGTTTATAATGAATTTGCCAGGTTTCTGATGGTGTAGCAAACATTGTTTTAAAAGAATTGACCCTCTGCATTTCTAAAAACACCATATTCTTCCTTCTTTTAGGCAAAATTACCCCCAGGATAACATCAATTTATATGGGTAGTTAGTTTATTGGTTTTATTCTTCCCAATAAAACCAGCATACTGAAAGTAAATTAAAAGTTTTAAAAAATTGTATGGGCTGATGTGGTTAAACCCTACCTAATAAGAATATTATCATGATCATTTGAGATGGTATGAGTAGAAGCACTGTATAACATGGGTAAGTAATGGATAATTGGTTTTGTTTTTATACTGTGTAAAATCTAAGATTAAACCATCTAGCAACAGTTCTCAAACTTTTGCTCTTGGATATCCTTTATATGCCATGGGGTGCAGACCATTCTTTAAGAACTTCTGTGAGAGAGAAATTAAGGGTGCAACAGTATTCTTAAGTGTCTTTTGGAAAATATGATTTACTGGGTGGGAGGTTTAATAAAAAATAAGACTTAACTGATGTTGGGTTTTTGTTGATTGAACAAAAAGAATTACTTGTATTATCTTCATATTAAATTAATTTTTATAGACTTGGAGCTTCCTGCCAGCAAACAAAATTGAGTAAAATAAAATATAGTACTTAAAAATGTGTTTATGCTTCACTTACATTGGTTTGTAGCCAAACCTCAGAAAGGCACTAAGAAGAAAGGAATTTTGTTGTTGTTTTAATTGGAACCATTCTGCCTTAGTTAGTATATATCTAGTAGTGATCTAGCACCAACATTAAAAGGTAATTTTGAAAGCAGAGAGGGGCACTAAGAAGCAAAACTCAAATTTTATTAAGCATATTCAGAGAAGAACCTGAGTGTGTTTATGTAATGAATTATTACAAAGAATATAGTAGACTACAGTAGAGAGTCTTATCCTGTTAATATACCTCTGTCAAGGTAGGTTTTTATTTAATAATTGGTGCCCTAAAAGTACTAAATTATTTTATTATATTCTTATATTTTGCAGAGATTCTGAAAAGCTTCCTTCTTGTAAGAAGCCAGCTCCCCTGTCTCCACACAGAGACAACATCCAACTAACTCCGGAAGCAGAAGAGGATATATTTAATAAATCTGAATGTACTGGTGTTCAAAGAGCAATATTCCAATAAATGCAGGTTGCGGGGAAGCTATTACCTGCAAGATAATCTCTATCAATTTGAAGTCCCTTTTTGGGTATGAGGCAGTTACAGGCTGAAAGATCTGTTCTTAGATCTATGCCATTTTTAAAATAGAGTACATTTTGTATATTAACTATATAATTGTTTCCTTTGATCAGCTTTTTATAGTTCCATAAGAAGCTAAATAGAGGAATATTATCTCTGACAGTTGTTTGAAAGTTTTAGTGGTAATTATGCAAGTCCCCTGAAATTCATAAAACTCCACTCTAAAGATGTCTATAATTTTGTCAAGCATATGGATGATAAGTGAAAAACCACAATTCTGTAATCATTTTATTCTAGAGAAAATCACTATATTTCTTCAGGCTTTAACATTTTCCCGCCTGCTTTTCTTGCCTATCCTTCAGGCTGAATTGAAAATAAAGTTACTGGGCTAAGAGGGGTGATTAGACAGGTTGAAGAGCATTACATAATTGGGGTAGTGCTCTGTTATTCCTAAAGTTTGGTTGGGTTACGGGTTGACAGTGATGGAAAATTGCTTTTTGCCTAATATAAAATGAACTACTACTTATGCCATTAATAATCTTAAAATTCAGAAATAGCTTCAGTGTTTCTTAGAATTTCTTGAAGTGTGGGCTAAAACTCTTTAATATATATTAAAACTAAGTTCCCTAAAGGCTACATAAAGTACTAAAATTGCAAGGTCTGTGTTATGTACACTCAGCAAAGAAGTAGGCAGATGTCTGGAAAGAACCACTTACTTACACAAGTGAAGATCTAATGTGACAGGAAGTAGAGGAAATATAAAAGTATCTGAGATATAGAGGATGAAGGAAAGTGATACAGTATTTTAATTTTCACCAAGAAATCAGAAATCTTATTGGTTGCCCTGTGTAAGTAACTTTTTCTTTTTCCTGTGCTGCTTTCAGTATTCTTTCTTTGTCTTTGGTTTTGATGAGTTTGATGATGATAAGTCTTGGTGATTTTCTTTTGGGGTGTATCCTGTTTGGGGTTCATTGAACTTCTTGAATGTATATCTCCTCATCCAACAAATCTTTGATAATACTCTGTTTATTTGTCCCTTCCTATTCTAGAAGTCTGGTGACACATAAGTTATTCCTCTTGATGGTGTCCTACATGAATATTAGGCTTTCTTCATTTGTTTTGATCTTTTTTTTCTATTGATCCCTTAACAAAGTAGTATTGAGAGATTTGCCTTCAGTCTCACTAATTCTGTCTTCCATTGATTCGATTTTTTCTCCTTTGCCCTTTTAATATGTTCTCTATTTCTGAAATCTTAGTATTAATCTTCTGGATTCTATTTGCTGTTTTTGTATGGTTTCTAATTTTTCATTTATATTGTCAGTTTGTTCCTGTATTGTTTTCCTACAGTTTTCTAGAGTTTTATTTGTGTTTTCCTCAATTTTATCAATGTTTTCCTTGATTTAGTCAGTGTTTTCCTTGATCTGTATCGCAGTCCAATGAAGGTACCTAAATATAATTCTTTTGAATTCCTTATCAGGAAGTTCCAATGCTACAACTTCCTGAGCGAGATTTTTCTGGCTCTGTATCCTGGTCCCTTGTTTTTACTACTTTATATTCTTTGTGTGAACTGGGATGGTCAGTTGTTTCCAACACATTATGATATTGTGTTTATATTTAATTGGTGATTGTGTTGGTGTGAGTCACCCAGGTGTTTTTTTTGTTTTTGTTTTTGTTTTGGGTTTTGTTTTGTTTTGATACATCTGAGTGATCAGGGCTGTTGTGCTACTCTCTCATCTAATGTGGCAGCACTTAAGCACTCACCACCTACCTCCTGGTGGGTGTGACAGAGGATGAGAGTCTAGGCACAGATATCTGTTAGCTGTTCATGTAGAACATTTGGGGGTTAGTTGGGATGGTATTGGCTACTGTCTCTTGTTCGTTAGTTGCTGCAGAAGCAAGTGATGGCCCTCACCCAGTGAGAGGTGCTTCAGGAGGTGTGGGTGTGGGTTGGGTCATATGGGCATGGTTTCTGTCTCCCACCCGATTGGACCAAAAAAATTAAAAGGAACAAAGTACACGAACTACATAAACAGAACAACTGCAAAAATAAATAAATAAATAATGAAAAAAGAAAAGAAGGACAAAGCAAAATAAACAGTTTCTGGGGAGGGGGAATATGAGAAGAGAGCAAGAGAAAAAGAATAATAAGGAAAAACTGAGAAAAAGGCCAAAAAAAAAAATGGGTAGGAAGAACAAAAAGAGAAAGTTCCTGCAGGTTCAAAAGGTGATTGGGAGCAAGGTACCTGGTTCCAGAGGAAATTTCAGCTTACTCAAAAAGCAGCTGTGGGCAGGGTGTCTAGTCCCAGATAGAATTCCTGCTGTGTCAGAATGGGAGCAGGGTCCAGTTTGCAGGGGGAAAAAAAATTCCTGCTCCTCCAAAAGTTGGCTGGGTGTAGGGTACCTGGTCTCAGAAAAAAATTCCTCCTGATCCCAAAGGTGGCTGGGAACAAGACTGGTAGTGCTGGGACCAGTTCCTCCTTGCCCAGAGAACAGTGGGTGGCAGGGTGCCTGGACTAGAATGGAATTCCTGCTGGTCTAGAAGGTGGGTGGAGGTGTGAGATGACCACATCTCTGTTCACCAAGAGGGTGTGGGGCACAAGGGAAATACTGCACCATTCTAGTCATCAGCCACCAGTGTATTTGCCTGTGCAGCCCTCAGCAAACAGAGCCAATTCTTAGGTTACTGCCCGAATTGAAACACCACTTGCAAATATTCAAAATGGCCACACTCTTAGGTCAGTCTATAACTCCATTTGTCTCCTTATTTGTTGTTTTCATTCTGTGCTTCTACTAGTTGGTATTTAATCCACTTATCCTTCCCTTTGAAGCTCAGGGTTCCAGGATTGTCTTCTGTATCTGTTTCACTTGGTTTATAATTTCTTTGTTGGAGAGGGTCTATGTAGCTTGTCTGCCTATTCCACCATCTTGCTGGAGGTCTGTATTTTAATTTTCAAATGAGACTTGGTAGGAGATTCTTGGATAAAAATGGGTTCAAATGGAACAACAACAACAAAAAGTCAAAGTTGTAAAAACCAGTGAAAAACAACAACAACAAAAAAAAATAGATCTTGCAAAACTAAAACCAATACCCCCTGCCTTTGAGTTGATTCTGACTCATAACAACCCTGTAAGACAGAGTAGAACTACCCCATAGGATTTCCAAGGCTGTAAATCTTTATGGAAGAAGAATGCCTCATCTTTCTCCAGTGGATCATTTGGTTAGCAGCCAAATGCATTAAGTGAACAACCAGAGCTCCTTGATCTTGCAAAAGATCTAATTAAAATGTATTCATTTACTAGGACTGCCATAACAAAGTACCACAAACTGCATGGTTTAAACAACAGAAATTTATTCTCTCAACAGTCTAGAGGCCAGAACTCAAGGTGTAGACAAGGTTGATTCCTTCTGGAAGGCTCCAAGCAAGTGTCTTTTCTATACCTCTTTCTTGGCTTTTGGTGGTTGCTGGCCATCCTCCAGTCTACCTCTGTCATCACATGGCATTCTTCCCTTTGTTTCCTTGTGTCTCTGTCTTCTCTTCTTATAAGGACACCAGTCATTGGGATCAGTGCCCACCCTATTACAAATGACTTCACCTTAACTAATTACAACTACGAAGCCTTTATATCCAAAGATCACATTCTGAAGTTCTGAGTAGGACATAAATTTTGGGGGGACACTCTTCAACAGTACACTAAAGAACAAAATCAAATTTGATTATTATAGAAGGAATTAAGAATATGCATCACACATTGTCTACAAATGTTTTGTCTCACTCACTTGAAACTCTACTTACATGACAGAAAAGGAATTAAAACATACTGTATACCCACAAGGTTGACAGAATGGAAGAAGGGACAACATCATTCAGGGTTTTGGAAAATGATAAGTGATTTCACAAAGAAATGATAGTTTCTCCAGTGGGGAAAAACAATGAGAAGTAAAAGTCTAGATGGGTTCAGTAAATGGGGATGTCACATAAAAATAACTAGACAGTAAAATCAAAGCCTATGGAGAATATTTACAACAAATTTAGTTGTTCTCTAACTCCCAAATATAAATGGATAAAGACAAGCCACCAACAGTTGCAAGACCCTTGAGGCATTAAAACCTATTCAGGGAGATAACGGCATCAGAGGGACCTGAGACATTAAAAGAAATAGTTAACAACAGTGAAGAAAGATAAGGATTTGAGTGAAAAATATTGAAGATGGTGAACGACCCAATATAGAGATAAAAGGAGTGAAGAAAATTATGCAGATACAGTGATACATAGATAAATGTTTCTGAAGGGAATTACTTAATTTTTTTCAAGAAAACTCACCAAAGAATATCAACCCATAACATCCAACACCAAGATAGAAGCAAAAAAGTTCTGTACTTTAAAGAAAAGACCCATTAGGCATCTAGGTAAAAGCAGCAAATCATATATAAGAACAAAGAGATAAGATTATCATCAGACTTTTCCATAATTATACTGAGGGAAATGGAGTACTATTTTCAAGATACTAAAATATATGAAGGAAAAATTTTGTGAGGTGCCGTCGAGTTGTTTCTGACTCATAGTGACCCCATGCACAGCAGAACTAAACACTGCCCAATCCCATGCTCCATCATCCCTGCTATACTTGAGCCCATCATTGCAGTCACCATGTCAATCCATCTCATTGAAGGCCTCCCCCTCTTTCGTCGACCCTCCACCCTACAAGAATTTTATGTCCAGAATATTATTTTTTTACACCCTCCAAGAATTTTATGTCCAGTAAAATTGACCTTCAAATTAAAGGGCATAGACAAACTCGACAAACTTAACAAACATAAAAGATTTTGGGAAATAGTGTTCCCTTGAGCTCATCCTGAGGAATCTATCGAAAAAATGAGCTCCATATAACCAAAATAGCTAGAGAGCAACACACAGACTGGTGGTAGGCATTAAACTTAGTTACTT